CCCCAAAACCCCAAAACCCCAAAACCCCAAAACCCCAAAACCCCTTGTCAGTGGATTAAAATTGATTTTTGAATTATCCCAAAATGGCATTTATTTCTACAAATCGTCTCTGGCTATTTCAGTCTCGATCTCTTCAAACCCTCTAGATCTTCCTTCTGAGTCTGCATAATAGTAGTTCCTTTCAATGATGTGCTTATGAATATAGTCTCCATATTCAAACGTGTCTTGCTCTTCGTCTGCTATCAAGACGTATCCATTGGTGATCATGTTGCCAACCATGTAAGTCTCAAAACCTGCTCCTGAGATCATATTAGAGATTGGTGCTTCAAGATCTACGAAATCAAAATCCTCTTCAACTTTTCCTTCAGCAAATGGATGCCAATCAACATGAACTCCATATGTTCCATCTTGGTTCAGATTGAAGCGGTATAAGTGGGCTGTCTCGTCAGCTGGAGGCTTTCTGTTTAGCTTCCAGATTCCTCTCTTTCCCTTCCAAGTGATCTCTAAATGGATTGTAGTATTGCTAGCATGCTTTTTAGGACCAAATTTGAGCCAGTATGGGGTGTCTTTGCCAAAAGTATCTTGGTCAAATCCTTCAGGCAGAAGAACAAGTGTACCGTTTCCAACTGCGACAGGATTTATGATGTCTGAAATGAATTGTACATAAATATTGTCTTTATCAGCATCAAATATGTAATCAAATTGATCAGTACTTATAGCATAGTACTTGTGCTCTTCTCTAGCTTCCATTCCCCATCATGCCCATTTAGGCTCGACCAAATGAGCAATGTCCTCTCTTACAGCACAGACATATTCTCCTTGTTTATCTATCGATAGGTCTTCTCCTTGTAATATGATATCAAAGGGTTCAATTTCAATATCAGCTGGTCCTTTCCAGATATCATCAAATTTATTTTCATTGTATTGGTCCTTGAAAAATGCTTTGCAGTTGCCTAGGGAGGCCAAAAGAAGAATATTGATAGCCACAAGAACTTTAATTTTTGAATTTACACGTGTCATATTTATTATTTTTAATTCAATCGAATTATTTAAATGCGGGGTTTTGGGGTTTTGGGGTTTTGGGGTTGGGGTTTTGGGGTTTTGGGGTTTTGGGGTTTTGGGGTTTTGGGG